CTGCTCTGTGTAGACATTTAGTATTGCCCACCAGTGCCAGCAACAAGTTGAGAAGAAACACATTCCAAATTCCATCCTAGAGCACACCAGAAGTTTAGGATGGGAATCTCAGGGAATTTGAATGATTGGAAGATCATGTCACCACTTTAAATTTGCAGATAAATGTTGGCCCTGCTTAGATAATTTGAAATATTGGGAAAATATGAAAAGATGCAACTATCCATTAGGGTGATATACAATTGTAGTTCTTTTGTTGGTCAAAATAGTGAACTACTGACATTTTCATAAGTTTAAGCCTAGTGAAGGGAAAGTAAGAGTATTTGCATATCAACCATAGTTTTGTTTCCAAGAACATCCAACAAGAAAGAACCTTAAAGGAAAGGAAGTCCAGCTTTCTCAGTTTAGAACTTGTGTTTATACAGTTAGATGAAAATATGTGAAAGCCCTCAAATGTTGATGGGATAAATGAGACAGAAGCAAATTTCATACTCTTGTCAAGCAGTTCCCACAGTATAAGAGTCACAGCCCCTTCTAGATTGCATTCCATTCTTAGTGGCTCCCAGTCCTCAGTGAACCTCATGGTCTAAGGTGGCTGCTAGAGTTCCAGCCATTAAGTAAACAGGGACAGTTCAGAGAAGAGGTTTACAAGCCTGACAAAGGTCGGACTTGGAGAACCACAGAAACCTGAATTTCTCTTGCAGTTGCTAGGAAGCCTCTTTAATATGAAGATATGATTGGATCTCTATGGCAGCACCACAGATGGTTTTGAGGAGCACATGAAGGAAGACAGCAGGTCAATGCAGGAGCACAGAAGGTGGTAAAGAGAGAGGTGTAGCCGTAAAGGCAGAAAGCATAGCTTTCACTTTCTGGGAAGTGTAGATGTGAAGAAAGCACAGAGCCCGTATGGAAATGGAAAGGTGAAGCAAGGCCATGGGGATTATAACTTCTTTCTGAGCATAAGTGAATTGGTATGAGGAAACAGGGAGCGTCTGCCAAGAATATTTGCAGAAGAAGCAATATCTTCAAAGAGAAGTTGATTTAGAGAAATTGTGCAAAGACAGAGCATGGAAGGGTAGATGCTCACAATTGAAGAGGGGTTCTGCTAAATACAGTTAGGTCTAGGTTAGAAATAAAATCTTATAAAGGGCTAGGTTATTTGGAGATGGGCATTTCTGGGTGCTTCCTTTACTGAGTAATCAAGAACCATGGAGTTGTCTGGGCTTGGTTGGATATCCACTGTCCCTGGGGTAGCAATACAAAGAGTTCAGTTGCCACAGCCTTCACCATGAGTGCTCATGACCCAGAGCTCCCTTCACTCCAGCCTAACAAATTTCACAGGATTTATTGGTGGGCTCTTTCAGGCCTATAGAAACCAGTTTCTTTACTTAATATACTTCCAATATAGTTAATACAAAAATTACTCATCACAAGCCACACTTAATTCACAACTTTGTAAATTACATGTAAGATATAAGAATTCTATCTTTAGTAAATCTTGAGTATTTAACTTAACCAACTGGTCACTTGATTATAACAAAAATAAAAAGTCTAGATTTGTGTTAACACTAGGGCAAATTGAGTGTATATTTGTGGGGAAAGATCAGTTTAAAGGAAAGCTCTTCTTAGCCTCCATGCTCTATTTTAGGGCCCTACTGTGGGCACTATACCTCTCCCTCTAAGGTGCCCCACACTGCATTTAGGGGACTATCCACCAGGTACCACAGGGAATTTGCGAGTTCATCCCTTGTTGAGAGCCACAGCTGAAGGGGCCCCAGCAAACTTCCAGCTGATTGGCTCACCTTGGCCCCAGAAAACTTCCAGCTGCCAGCTGATTGGCTCCTCTGCAGTGATGCTCATTGGGCTGTTTCCCCGCCCTTTCAGACCATGGAGCTGCTCATTGGGGGACTCTTGTGGCTCCACCCACGTGACCCAGCCAATGGGCCTCAAGAACAGGAGGAGTGGGGGGGGGGGGTTGAGAGGCTCCCCAGAAGCCAGTGGTGGCAGTTGGGCTCTGAGGGAATTCCTGAAGAGTTGGTGTGGTGCAGCATGTGTGTTCTAAAAATAAAGTTTGTTTCTGCTTGATAAGTGGCTCTGAATTGTGCCCAGCCAGACCTCAGCAATCCCTGAATTTGGGCATCTCTCCCACCAGTTTCCATTAATACAGCCCATACAACATGGTCTGTGTTGTCAAACTTCAGAGATACAGACAATGGATAGATACAGTAGGTAAAACAGACTTGAACAGGAAGAGAGAGCGCATGCCATGTAATGTACAGTCTGGTAAAGAGGAGAGATTAAAGAGAGCAAATGAAATTGTTCCACACAGTGGCAAGGACTAAAAAGGAAAAGGTCCTAGAACAGAGAATGACTGGGGAGGAGAGAGTCAGGCGGAAATGGGTCTTTGAAGAAGAATTGTCATTGGAGGTGAGTAGAAATAAAAAAAAAAAAATAGGATAGAAGTCGTGAGTGGGACAGTGTTCAATGGGTTTCAAGTGCTAAAAGTATTTTGTCACTACAGCATTACAGCAAAGGAGGAAGAGGCCAGAGGTAGCAGTGTCCATTCAACCAAATAGTTGGCTAAACTTAAGTTCAAATTTTTCATCACTGTACTCTACAAAATAAAGTTTGTAAAATTGAATTTAAATGATGCAGATAACCAACCTTTCTATTTTCCTTCTATTAAAGCAATTTCATAATAATTTTGTAATACACAGAATTTGGAGATCAGTTCTATGATGTAATTTCCTAAACAGCTTTCAAATGCCTTCATTATAAAAGGTCCATGTTAAAGGAAAACACTTTCATCAAGTCAAGGTCCAAGCTATTTATCATGGCAACATTCCAATGAATGGTGAGTCAAAGGGAAGATTGTTTTGCACACAAAATTAAAGGAAACATTATAGCATTAATAGTCACTTTAATGTATTTTTGTATTTACAAAAGCATCCATCTGGAGGTTGCTTGAATTTTGGAAAGTTCTGTGATCATTTAATGCACAGTAAAATTTGTGTCCAATACAAATTAAACACAATCTTTATTGATTGATTTGATGTGAGGTAACTATTTCAACTTAATTGCCTTACTCTGAGAAAACCCTTGGGGAAAAGCAATCTGTCTCTACTCAGCAAAAGCAGCTAAAAACTACAAAAAGAAATTTCCATTCTGACTTGAGATGTGATATGCTGACTCTACAGGCCTCCAGATTGTTTCTTACATCTAAAAATATTAAGTTCAATAACTTCACAAGAATAGAATGAAAGTTCTGATGTTTACCCATATTCTGACAAAATATGACCAAAATAAATATTGTACTTCCCTGATAAAGATTCGTAAGACTTTATAGTGAGGTCAATTCTGCAGCCCACAGTCTTAAAGCCATGAGTTTCACACAACAATTTGTTCAGATTCTTTTAAACTAAAAGACCAGAATAGAAGAAAGAAGAACTGGCAGATATGCCGGAGAGAAGATACCTCACAAATGTTGCTCAGCAAACTAAGAAATTGTTGCCTGCTGTAACAAAATGCCTATTGTAATCTAAACAGGCTGTGATATTGTTCCTACATTATTTTTTTCTACTTTAAAGGAAAATGGATGATAGGTCTTGCTGAAGTAATACCTGATTAGATCACCTACCTACAGGTGCTCCCCAGAAGGTGCCAATATAGTCTGCCTTCCAAGAAGCCTGGGCATCGTCATCAATGTGCTCACTACCAGTGGAGGCCTGTTCCCTAAAACACATGCACAGGGAGACTTGCAGCACACCTTTATGCCCATTGCTTCTCTTATTAACTACTGACAACCACTGATTTCCTGTCTTTTGAAATTAGCACCTCAACAGTCTATAAATTCAACATTTGCTACAACTCTTCAATCTAAAAAAAGCCTAACCCCAGCTCTGGTTTCAGATAGCATCTCAATCTTTCATTCCACAAACAAATGAAACAACAAAAGAAAACCAGAGACCTCAACACTGAATCTATTTCATTTTGGATTGTTAAGGCATGGTAGGCAGGGGTCTTTTAACTTTCAGTCTAAAGATGATAGCATGTATACTATAAAATAGTTTGGATTTCCAAGGCATTTTCCCCTCTGAAATTAAACTAGAAGACAATCCGGAGAATGTTGTACATTTATCCTACTGGCTTAGCTATCCACAATCTATTGCCGTTTTAATTAGAACAGGGTTGTACCATCTGCAGTTAAGAAAAGCAGAAAGTTCCCCTGACTCTACAAGTTTAAGAACTTTTTTTTTTTCTTGAAGACACTGAACCTGTCTGTACCCCACACCTAAGTGGCAGTTAGCCTGTTTCCATTTGGGACAATGCCTCTTGAACTGGTTTAAAATGTGACACTGACAACCTCCACGTCCAAAGAATGGGATGGGGGGCAGAAGGAGAGGACAAAAGGACTCTAGTTTCTTCTTACTCTCAGAAATGTAACCATAACATGAAGATACTTCGTACCAGTCTTCCTCCTTGTGTCAGACCACAAAAAACTGACAATCTCCTAGGTAGTTCACCAGAACAAGCTCCTCACCCTCCAGCATTCCACAGCGAAAAGCTAACACTTGATATTTCGTGAAGTTCTCCCAATTCCCCCAGATCTCCCTGAAGACCAGAAGCATTCCCTTGAGATGTGAGGCTCACACCCGCCCCAGACATTCCTCACACAGCGTGCACATCATACTCCTAGATTTTGATGATTTACAACGCAGAGAGGGACTGTGAACCCAAAAGACAGTGACAACTGGAAAGGAAAACTCCAACCTTAGCAATCAGAATACTGTCTGCAACCTGCGCGGGTGCGGGAGATGAGTGACGGGCCGAGGAGCCAATCAGCGGCCGCCCCAGCCGTTGCCAAGCCCACGTTGTATTGGGGGCGTGTCCGCACCCTGTGCGCCTCCCCCCGGGAGCCAATCAGCGGCCGGCCCAGCAGTTGCCATGGCCTCATTGTGTGTTGGTACCGCGTAGGCGTCACTCGCGTCCCAGCCCGGGAGCCAATCCACGGCTGGCCCAGCCGTTGCCCTGGACGCTCTGACTGTTAGGCCAGCGCTTGCACGGGACGGGCAGAGACCCAGCCTGGCTGTCCTCGTCCCGGGATTCTCCAGGGTCCCCGCTGCCACGCGCCCAGAGACACTAGCCACCGCCAGATTCCATGAGCTCCCAACATGAACCGAAAGAAATTGCAGAAGTTGACGGACCACTTAACTAAAAATTGCAAGCACTGTAAGTAAGAATCAAGTGCTGAACAAGCCGAGGTTCCTGGGCCAAGTCTGCTCCTACCCAGTGCAATTTCCCTGCTGTGCCTACTTCCTGCTTCCAGGACCTGTGTGACCATGGGCCCACCCCAAACCCCTAAGAGAAGTCTGAAAAAGTTCATCCCATCCCGGGATGCTAGCTCCTTGGGCGGGCACCCACGCCCGGGACCTTGAGAACTACTCTCCATGCATTTAGTTCTACCTACACTTGAGGACACTACACTTTTCTCGTTCCTCAGACCCTCTTTGCCCTTGGTCCTGGCCTTCGGTGCTGACATTGAACTCAGGGCCTCTCATGTGCTACCTAAGGTGTCTCTCACTACTGACCTACATCTCCAACCCCACCCCACTCCCGCACCCTTTTCTAAAATTTTGAGATTGGGTCTTGCCATATTGCCCAGGCTGACCTCGAATTTGGGATCCTCCTTTTTCTTGCCTCAACCTCCCTAGTAGCTGGCATTGTTTGGCATATGACAGCATGCCGGGCTCTCAGACCCTCTTCTTAATTTACTTTTATATTATAGAAGTGAAGTAATATGTGTTCATGATACATGTAGTTGTAGCCTCAGACATGTTGTAAAAGAAGTACTAAAACCCACCGGACTCAAGAAAAGAGCATAATCAACGTACATCGTGCACCTTAGCCGGCTTTTCAGCTCTTCCTAGACCAAAATAAAGGACAGGTCCAAGTTCTGGAAGCTTAACAAGAGATCCATAGGGGAACATAGCCATGTAACTGATGTGATTCTGCAATCTGTGTATGGGGTGAAGGTGGGAGTTCATAACCCACTTGAATCAAAGTGTGGAATATGATATGTCAAGAAATTTGTAATGTTTTGAACAACCAACAATAAAAAATTAAAAAAAAAAAAAAAAAAAAACAACTGATCATCTTTAGGAAAGATGAGTTGAAGTGGCACAGAAACCTGTCTCAGAGCAAGATTTGTTTGGAAATAAAATTGCTCAGCAAAGCTAAACATGTGGTAAACAATCTGCTCCCAACTTTGCGCTTCCACTTTCCAATTGCTAATATGGTGGGAAGGTAGAGAAGACTTTCTAGGTGACAAACTGAATGTTTATTAAAGACAGCTGTTCTAATCTCCCCTTTGGAAAGGCAGTCCTAGAACTTCATAGAACACTTTAGTATTGTATTCCAACTGCACTTTGGCTAGAAAGCAATAGATTTGGTTTAGAAGAGGATGATATTGTCTGGTTCCCAGACTTCCAAGTTGTATGCTGATTGCAAAACTACTGGCCACTTGAGGAAACAGGAGAAGCCATGGTCCTCAGAGAATACCCATTATGCAAACAAGGAGGAATAAACATGTTTAAGTGTGATTAAAGGATCTAGTGCCTTCTCATCATCATTAGTATCTGATGTAAAGAGTGGTAAGAATGCTCTCTTCGTGGGTTGGTGTTATAAATAAAAGTTATATTGAAGGTATTATTACAGACCTTTAATTTGATGAGGATTTCATTCTGTTATTTTTCTTAAAACACTTTCATTTCTGGGAAAAGACCAGATATTCTTAAAACATCTAGTAAACATTTTTTATAATACTCATAAACAATGCAATAACTACTATACACAGTACTGATTTTGATTTAGTCTCCGTTCAGTAAGTTTCCAATGCATTGAAAACATTCTGTGAACAATTGAAAAGTGAACATGTATTTTAAAAGATAAATGAAAACACGTCAGAAAAAATCAACTCTTGATTTTTGTTCTTACAAAAAAAAATTTAAGTGAGCCTTAATAACTTTGATGATTAAAAGTAAACATCACTACATTATGTAGAAATAGTTATAGGTCATGGACATCATAATAAATTTAAATTTCTTTAAACAGAAGGCTTTTACCTAAAGTCACATTTCTTTTATAGTTTCCAGATGATAATGCAATAGATGAAATGGATACATATTGTTGAATCAGAAAAGAAGAAAAGAACTTAAGTGAGCATCTAGTTAATTCTCCATTCACCGTCTTATGATTCTACACATATGATCTATAGGTCACATGTAGAGTTTTCCAGAAAGATGAAAGCCATTCCATATCAATGTCCCATAATTTCATGCAGTGTGGTATTCTAGAATGTAAGAACTATTTCAGTAAGAAAAGTACTAATGGCAACCTTTGATCCTTGAATCAATTTTTTAACTGAAAGTCAATCGATATATTCAGCTTATGTTCTTTAATTTTTATTTCAGTTGAATGGAAAAAATGTGTGTCTTGGATGTAACACAAAATTTGCCATTTTAACTGTTTTAAGTGTATAATTTTGTGATATTAAGTATAGAATTCCCCCCTTATCAATGGGGAATGTGTTGCAAGACCCCAAAACAGTGTATAGTACTGAACTGTATAGTTCTACCATATATATATATATATATATATATATATATATATATATATATTACATGTGTGTATATATATATATGTAATAAATTTGAATTTATAAATCAGGAACAGTAAGAGATTCACAGTATCACAGTAATAGAACAATAATGACAATATACTGCAAAAATGTTATCTAAAACTTATAAATATTTTATTTCTGAAACTTTTAAAAATATTTTCAGACTGTGGTTGAGCATGGGTTACTGAATCCTTGAAAAAAAAACTTCAGATTTAGCAGGGAGACTACTGTACATTCATACTGTTATGTAACTACCATCCATCTCCAGAAATTTTTCATATTTCCCCACTGAAACACTGTACCTTGAAGAATAACTCCCCACTCATTCCTTCCCCCAACCGCTGGCAGCAACCATTCTACTTTCTGTCACCATGAATTTGACTTCATATAACAGGAAACATGCAGTGTTTTATCTTTTTATGTCTTGAATTTTCACTTATCTTAATGTCCATAAAACTGATCATTTTGTAGTATGTGACAGAATTTTCCTTCCTTTTTAAAACCAAGTAATATCCCATCGTAAGAATACATCACATTTGGTTAGCCATCAACGAATGCTTGGGTTGCTTCTATTTTTTTGGTGATCATGAATTATACTACTGTGAATATTGGGGTACCAGCATCTGGTTGAGGTCCTACTTTCAATTATTTTGTGTGTAGATTCAGAAGTAGAATTGCTGGATCATATGCCAATCACGTTTAATTTTTTTTTATTTATTTGTTGCTGTTGATGGACTTACCTTTCTTTCTTTCTTCCTTTCCTCCTTCCTTCCTTCCTTCCTTCCTTCCTTCCTTCCTTCCTTCCTTCTTTTCTTCCTTCTTTCTTTCTTTCTTCCTTTCCTCCTTCCTTCCTTCCTTCTTTCTTTCTTTCTTATTTATATGCATTGCTGAGAATTGAACCCATTGCCTCACACATGCTAGGCAGGTGCTCTACCACTGAGCCACAACCACAGCCCTCATGCTTCATTTTTTGAGGAACCATTATACTCTTGTTGGGTTTTTGGTTTTATTTGGTTAATTTTAAAATCATAACCATTACATTTTCTGCTATTTAACTTGTTTAATCTTTTTAAAGTTTTAAATCTTTCCCTTAAAATGTGGTTCTCAAAACCAGCAATCACTGGAGGCTATCCTGATCTATAGGATGAGGTGTGATTTTTTTCCATTTTCATGTGTTATCTTCTCATAGATGTATACAGGTTTTGTCTTTGTTTTTGAAAATATTCAACCATAATTTTACCTGGTTTTGAAACAAAAATATTGCCCATCTTCTTTGTATGCTTCATATTTAGAATCATTTTTATGTTCTTAATGCCAAGCAATAACCCTTCCACCTTCATACTTCAAATGGCAGTTGGAAAATATAATTAACTCAGTGTTTGTAAACATTGTCCTTTATGTGATCATGGGTACCAGTAAATATCTGTGTTTGTATATATGCTTTAGATACAAATGTCCTCCCTCCAAAGTACTAATTGTTCAATGTTAATTTTTGCATTGTCCTTAAGGGGAGCTCAAAACTTCTTTTTTGTAAAATAGGTGTTTCTTATTTCAGAAATATGGCTTATGAATTCACAAAGGTTAAAGTGATATTAAAAATGAAAACCATTAATTCTCAAAGTATGGTATCTATTTTCTGGGAAAGCCAAGTTGTAAATCTGATAAATGCTTACCAAAATGCTGGGATAAATTAACATTGTTAAACATTACCATTCTTATTTTAAATTATATATCTACAAACCGTATAAAATTTAGAATCTGATACCACATTCATCATTCAAATTACTAAGCTAATATTACCTTCGCCCCCCCAAACATGATTGAATTTGCATCTATTTAATGTATGACTCTTGTTTGAAGGAAATGCTAGTTTTCTTAAATGAGTAATGTATCTTTGGCTATCTTCATCCATTAACTTAAGGTATGAATCTCAAACCAGGACACACACAGGTATATATATATATATATATGTATATATATATATATATATGTATATATATATATATATATATATGTGTGTGTGTGTGTGTATGTGTGTGTGTGTATATATATGTATATATATATACATATATATATACACACACACATACACACACAATATACAGTATACTATATATACAGTATATATATACATGTACGTATGTATATACAGTATATATATGTAAATATATATACTGATGTATTTATGTATATATATGACATAGTCTTAATGCATATAAATATGCTTCAATTGCAATATTTAGCTTATAATGTAAAGATTGAAATACACTTTTGTTTTACCTTTATTATTCTACAGTTAATAAATCTGAAGTGACATGTCTCATAAAGCTTTTCTATAACTTGGTTGGAGATGTAGCAGAGCGACCAGTTGCAGTTGTTGGACTAGATCGTAACGCATTTCGGAACATCCTACATGTAACATTTGGAATGACAGATGACATGATTATGGACAGAGGTAAGAGATATACAAAATTTAAATCAGTCAATTCTAGCCACCAGAAAAAAAATTTAAAAGCTTGGAGTTCGGTCATAATCTTGGTAGGAGGCTTAATGTTCTACATTCTCTATTTATTTGAATATAAACATTTAATTTTCCAAAGATAATTAGAGAAAGATGTAATATTCTCTTTATATGTAAGAACATGACAAAGGTTGGGTAATTAGATTTCCCTTATATTGAAAAGCTTGGAATATTTCTATTTTTTCTTAGTAAACATAATAAATATAATGGCTTCTAAACTACATTTAAATTTTCTTATATCTAAATAAAAATGGAATACAGTCTTATCATGTAATAACGTTCCTTGTCTTGAGTAACAAAAATATGAAATTGTATATTCTACATTAATATGTTTAGATTATCTAATATAATTAACATTTTAATATATCACAATATTGTATTATTAATTAATAATGTATGTATTTAGATATTCAGAATATTCTTTCTTACCACAAAATAGGAAGAGAAAATTCAAATGCATAATTAAAATGCATATCAATGTTCTGATAACTCAATTTCCTCCTTTGTCAAGTGAGAATATTGGACTATAAAATCCTGACGTTTTCTCTAAATTATAAAAGCAAGCGATACCGATGTAAATACATTATTGAGAATTCAAATGCAGCACAGCTGTTACATAGTATCTCTTTCTCTTTTTAGTATTCCGAACTTTTGATAAAGACAATGACGGCTGTATAAATGTATCGGAGTGGGTTAATGGATTAACCGTGTTTCTTCGAGGATCCTTAGATGAAAAAATGAAATGTAAGAGTTCAGGTTGTCTTAATGTTCGTACATTATGATTAACATAGCCAAAGCGTTTAAATTACTGTCCCCCAACCAGCCAGTGGGTGAGTGAGTTTGTTGGTTGGTTGGTTTGGATTCTCATTAGCCTCTTTTATGGAATGAATTTGAGTTAATAGGGGATAAAAGAAAATGACTAAAAAGGAAAATCAAGTAATTCTGAAGAGTGATTATGATGCCAGGGAAGTTTGCCTAGGCGTTGCTGTACACACTAATTATGTACACATGTATTTATGCACTAAGGACTTAACATCATTTGAATTTTAAACAGAAAAGCAGAGACTATTGATTTAAGTGTTTGATTCTTTTTTCTTTTCATTTCTTTTGAGTGTAAGAGTAGGATTTATTGAAGGATAGAGACAGGGATAGAACTCTCTCAGTGCTAGAGAGGAAACCATAGCAGATTTTCCAAAAGTTCTAATGTTTAATAGTTGACTCTGATGAACTCTAAGTCATATTTTTAATCAGTGTTCCAAGAGTTTCAGGATTTAAAAATGTCCGATGTATTGTTCCTTGATGTGGTTTTTCATAACTGAGAGTAAAGAAACTTCCTGAGGATTCTTGAATGCATTCAACATTTACCATGAAAACCAGGTGATGCCAAGGTCTTCAGGGTTGATGAAGCATCAACAAGATAGACCTCAGCCCTCAAAACTTGGTCAGAGAAAATGTTGCCTTAGTGATAATATCAAATTCATAATTGGACATTTTCTTTAAAGATTGCTTTGAAGTATTTGACTTGAATGGGGACGGCTTCATTTCAAAGGAGGAAATGTTCCACATGTTAAAGAACAGCCTTCTGAAACAGCCATCAGAGGAAGACCCAGATGAAGGAATTAAAGATTTGGTTGAAATAACACTTAAGAAAATGGTAATGATTTTGAGTAATTTAGAGTTTTATATTGAAATGCACAGGTCACATATGGAATGGAAATAAGAATTTGAATAATGAGAATTTTCAGTTTCCTGTTTAGTTAACTAAACACTTGAATGGTGCTATTACAATATCCAAAATTCTTTTGAGGTGGGGGGATAGCTAAGTTTTAGAGTGCTTGCTTAGTATGTGCAAGGCCCTTGGGTTCCATTCCCAGCAAAACCCCAAAAAATTCTTTTCAATTTTATGACTCAATCCCTTATTTCTCTAGAACCTTTCTTCCATTAACATTTGACTATGAAAATAACAAGCAGTTGTGGTAAGCATGTTACATGTTAACTGATGTATTCCTGCTGTCCCCTCAGGATTATGACCATGATGGGAAGCTATCTTTTGCAGACTATGAAAAAGCTGTGAGAGAAGAGACTCTTCTATTGGAAGCCTTTGGACCATGTCTACCTGATCCAAAGGTAACAATATTGCTTTGGCTGAACTGTAACTAAAGTGTAATATAAGATATGCAATCCAGAACTTCTTGCTTATAGTGGACCAGAGGAATCATGTTCACCCAGGGAGAATAGCTTCTCAACACTGAAAGGCCACTAAAGAAGAAACTACCAGTACATCTCATAGTACTTATTGTAGCCAAGTGCTTTGCTTTCCATTCGTAACTTACTCATGTTAGAAAACAATTAATGAGACTTAATGTGTGCCAGATGAAAGGCTCAGTGATTGCCTTGAGAGAAAAACACAATATGAAAATAGTTTTATAACAGCGTGATAAGTGTTATTATAATAATATTTAATGACTTATAGGGTGCTTCATCTGTGTCAGGCAGTATCACAAGTACCATATCACCTCAATGAATCCATCTAAAACTCTCTGAAGTAGATAGTACTATTATCCTTTTTTTACAAATGAGAAAACTAAGGCTCAGATAATTTTGGTCAACTTTTCAAAATCCATTCACTAATTGGCAGAGTGGCCTGGGTATCCTAGTGTCAGAGGAGTCCATAGAGATGTATAGAACATGATGATTGGCAAGAAGAGAGGTATCTAAACCAACTGTATGTATCAGGCATTTGTGAGATCCATCCATCTCATAAATGCAGAGATTGGATGAAGGAAGAGATTGAGCTCTGGTCTGGGGAAAGGACTTCCAGGTAGAGGCAACAGCGAGTGCAAAAGCTGTATGGAACCACCGCAACATGGGCAGTGACATAGGAGGGCTTATCAGAACTGGGTTTTGAAGGAGAAAATAGCCAGGTCAAAATGGGGGAAAGTAATCTAAGCAAAAAGAATGACTATATATATATATATACACACACACACACACACACACACACACACAAAAGAAAGAGGGGGAGTGAAAAAGGAAACAGTAAGTAAAAGACGAAAATACATCTGTCTTGGATGAGAACTTGGTGCATATGAGGCTGGAGATCAGGTGGCAGATACAAAGAAGGACCATATCTTGTTGTCTTAAAGATGATGGAAATTCATTGGGGGTTTTCAAAAAGATAGAGTTATGTGATTTGTTAATGTTCCCATCCTTTGAAGCTTTAGTTTATATCTCCAGCTGCCCACTTGACATGCCCTTAACAAATTTCAGGTTTTCCCTAAAACTTCACCTCTCCCTCAGTCTTCCCTATTGTTAAGTGGCATTCCTATGCACCCAGGTTTTTCATTGAGAAGCCTGAGAACCAGATTACTATCTGTCTCCTCCAAAATTTATGATTGCAACCTCTTCCGATATCAACATGTATCAGGCACAATGATCTGTCACTCAGCCCAGATCATTAGCTCTCTTGGATCCATTATTTTCCCCCTACTTCCTTTGCTCCAGAATACTCAGTATGTTCAATAATGCCAATGCTATCATGCCCTATCCTTGCTCAGGACCCACCTGTGGGTTTGAGAGTAGATACAATGGCCTCTTTCTCTCTCTCCCCCAGTCACATCTTCTACTGTCTCCCATTCTCACATGGCACTGGGCCACACCAGCCACCTTGCTGTTCTTCCCTGTGTGCTTTTGCACTTGCTGTTGCCTCTACCTGGAAGTCCTTTCCCCAGACCAGAGCTCAATCTCTTCCTTCATCCAATCTCTGCCCAAATGCGTCTTGTATACAGCACATAGTAGATGCCCAGTAAATGATGGAAGGACATATGGATGGATGGATGGATGGATGGATGGATGAGTGGATGGATGGATCTCATAAATGCCTGATGGAGAGTTCTGGATCTGTCTCCCTCCTCCTCTTTATCATTTACCTTTACTCCCTCATTTACCTTTACCTTGACACAACCTCTTCCCTCTCTAGTAAAACCTTCCCATTAGGACTTTAAACATTTTAAACTGTCCTGTCTGAAAAACAAAACTAAAGGAAGGATAATAAATAAATAGAGATAAATAAATAAATAATAAATAGAGAAGAAATAAATAAAGGAAGAAAGAGAAGAAATAAAGGAAAGATGGAGGGACAGTGGGAAGGAAGGAAGGGAGGGAGGGAAGGAGGGAAAAGGCAGAGAAATTAATTTTATAGCTGTTTCTACTTCTTGTCTAATGGCTCCATCTCACAGTCAAGGTTCTTGAAAAGATTGTCCAGATTTGGGACCTATATTACACTCTACTTCCTCTCATCCATCCCTGTATCTGCTGTGGCCAGGGTCACCCTGCCCTTCTGTTAATAAAGCCTATGAACACTCTTGGGTCTTCACCTTACTGAAGCACATCCTTTCATTGTCCAGAGCTCTTGGTCTGCCTTCCTCTGCTCCAGGAAGTCTCGCCACTTCCCTCCACTTTCCCTCCCACTTCCCTCCACTTTCCCTCCCACTTCCCTCTACTTTCCCTCCCACTTCCCTCCATGGTCTAACTGTGCCCAGATTCCTCCTCTAGGACTCCCAGAATTCAATATGCGCTGATTCCTGCTGCAGTCCTCCTGGCCCTCATCTGTCCACCCAGTTTCTGGCCAGTCTTTGATACTAGGTTGGAATCCTTTGGAGAGCTGTGTCATAGGGTCTTGTTCATCTCTGTGGATCAAGAACCAAGCATTGTGCTTGTAATACAGTTAGTACTAATGAAGTCTATGGAAGAAGACAACCACATAAACACTTGAAAGTCTTGATGCCCATTCTCCCAGCTACCCTCTCTCTCTATAAACATTAGAGAGACATGCAGAGTATTTTGTTTTGCTCTACCTGTTTTTTGGAAGTTCGTGTGTGTAAGTCGAGTCTGTAAGTCTGTAAGTTGAGTATGTTTGTTTTGCAGAGTCAGATGGAGTTTGAGAGTCAAGTATTCAAAGATCCAACCGATTTCAGTGATATGTGAATTCTAAATGCGCATTGTTTGAAGTGAGTACTAAAGAAGATACACCTGTAGTTTATTTTTTCTACTTAGCTCAGAAAGAAGATGTTGAATTGTGCATCTGGGGGTGGTGATGGGGCTCACTTCCATATATCACTTAACTCTGGTATAAGGTGCAAGTAAAACAGAGTAGACGACAAGTTTCTTGTTAGAGGGGATCTTTCTAACAAATATTAATATTTCCAATATTAGTTTAGTTGGGTTGGGTATGGTTAGTTAGCATTCCTAGATATATTTTCTCATATAGACTATCTTTCCAAGAATATAACTGTTGTAAAATATAATTCATTAAATTAATGGACAGATAATGTAATTATCAATTATGAATACAAATATTCTTCATGTCAGAAAGAGGTTAGGTATACTTTGAAAACTCATTGAAACTACTGAATTTCCTTTGGAGAAGGTTGGCATCAAAAATAATACTTGCATTTACCACCTAAACACACTTCTGACAGGAACTAGGGCAGATTTAGAGAAATGAAAGTTACACTGAGGCTTTTTAATATGATTTATGTGGTTGTGTGAGGCTTTGCTTAATCATTTTACCAGCTTGTAAGTGTCAAGGGCAGGGATTTTATCCTCACACATCTTTATATCTGCCATAGCAGTTAGTCTTCTGCATATCATGGGCCCTCTATAGATATTGTGCATCGGATTGAAAGCTGAATATCACTACAATATAAGTACAGACTTATGGTGACCAGAGAAAGAGGAACAGGTTCTGTTTCTTAGCCTTAATGGATAATGAATGGGCAGTTTTCAGTTAATTTTGGAGTCATTCACCTTCAATGCATTAGGACGTCAAAGTCCTCCTCTCCTCTGTTCCCAGTGTCTCTCCACCCTAACCCTCCTTAGGGTCCCCTGGAACTGCCTGACTGCATTGCAGTGTCATAGTCCCCCACTGCCTGGATTCCTCTTCTGAATGTCCTCATCAGGGATAGTACATATTTTATGTTAAGTGTGTCCACAGCTGTAAACTCCAGAAGACACATCTTCCTTCTCCCTTTAGCTATGCTGCAGCAGACGCTTGTGGGCATTATAATCAGGAGAAAGAGAGGGGCTAGTTAGCTTTGTGTGAGCTCCTTTCTAACACATGTAAGCAGCTGAGAGAAATAGACATAATATCTGCCCCCTACATGGGCTGTCATTTAGATTTTGTTACTACACATGCATTATTAAATGTAAACAAATAAGTATATTCTGTGAAAAACTGAACTGTTAATAATGAATAGAATAAGCAATTCTGTGAAATAAAAAAATATTTCACTGTATTTTCTAAAAAATTTAGCTGCTTGTATAGATGGGATTTGACACAATTCTTCTATTTGCAATTGGTATAAATAATACAATGCACAGTGTTTTAAATTTTCCACCTTTGCTGAGATACAATTAACAAATGAAAATTGTGTATGTTTAATTATTGTGTGCAATTTCATGTCTTGATATATATACATTGTGAAATAATTACCAGTATAAAGGTCACTAACATATCCATTGCTTCACATAGTTGACATTTTTTTTCTTTGGGAGTACAATGTACCCTCTTAACAAATTTCAAGTATCTAATACAGTATTGTTAACTATAGTCACAGTGCCTGTCCCTAGAACTTATTCATGTTGCATAACTGAAACTTTTCACCCCATGACTGACATCTCCTCATTTCCATAACCACCATTCTATTCTTTACTGCTATGCATTTATTTCCACATATAAATGAGATTATTCAGTATTTGATTTTTTTCTATGTGGAGCTAATTTCACATATCACAATATCTTTCCAGTTCATCCATGTTGTTGAAAATGACATGATTTCCCTCTTTTTAAATGTTGGCTAGCATTCCATTGTTTGTGTACAAACATATACATCTATACACATAATGCATATGTATATATCATAATTTCTTTATCCATTTGTCCATTGATGTCAGTTTAGATGGTTTTTATATCATAGCTACTGATACTGAAATGAACGTGGGGCTAAAGATGTCTCTTTGTGATACAGATTTTATTCCCTTTGGATATATACCTAGAAATGGGATTGTTAGATCACATGGTAGTTCCAATTTTAATTTTTTGAGGAACCTCTATTTTCTGTAATTTACATTCCCACCAGTGGTTCCTAAGAGTTCCTCCTTCTTCATAACCTGGCCACCACGTGCTATTTGTTTATTTAGTTATTTAATTTTGTCTTTTTGATAATAAGCCATTTCAACTGAACAGAGGTTTCTCATTTGGGTTTTGATTTATATTTCCCTGATGATTAGTGATATGGAGCAGTTTTTAAATATCTCTCTTGGCCATTTGTATACCTTTGAAAAATGTGTAGTCAAATCCTTTGCTCGTTTCTTTAGATTTCTTGCATTTTTGCTACAGAGCCCTTGGAGTAAGTACCAGCTGACAGGAGTAGCAGCTCTGGTTCCAGGTAAGGACAATGGCTTGGACTCCAAGCAGCTCCATCAGATTCATTCATGAAGGCTGCAGGTGTCTGTGATAATGGCAATGTCTGGGAGCGTCAGTGGGTGTTTTTATTCAGCTTCTTCACTGCTGGGACTTAAAGACCCAATCAGAACAACTGTAGTGGGGGAAAGGACTCATGGTTTTTGAAGTTTTAGTTCATAGAAGGTCCACTCCATTCCTCAGGGCTTGAGGCAAGGTAGAACATCATGTTGGGAGAGTGGCAGAAGGAAGTAGCTCATATCATGATCAGAGAGCAGAGAGAGAGAGTTTACTCACCAGATACAAACATATACCTAAAGCCACACCCTAATTCCCACCTCCTCCAGCCACACCCTGCCACTTCAGTTACCACTCAGTTAATCCCTATCAAAGAATTAAATCACTGATTGGGTTAAGACTCTTATAACCCAATCATTTCTCCTCTGAAACTTTGTTCTCTGTCTCACACGTGAGCTTTTTGGTAACACCTCACATTCAAACCATTACATTTGCCCCTGGCTCCCAAAATCTCACAACCCTCTCACAATGCAAAATACATCTTCCCCCATTTCCAAGAGTCCCCACAGTCAATAGTTCCAAGATTCCTCAAAGTTCACATCCAAATTCTTTTCTGAGGCTCAAGGCAATCTCTCATCGTGAGCTCCTGCAAAATTAAAAGCAATTTACAAGTATATAATATACAAGGTTACAGAGTACCCATTTCCATTCACAAAATTAGGGGCATAGAAGGGATAGGACCAAAATCCAGCTGGGCAAACAAGTCCTGTAGATCCATATCTGGCATCTAGGGCATATGACATCATGATGTTCTCTCAAAGGGCTTGTGTGGCTCTACCCATGGGGCCTTGTTTGTTGCAGCCCAAGTGGCCTCTCTGTTGGCTTGCTTTACTCAATTCCTTTAGCTTCCTAGGATGATGTCCTACATTACTGGTATTTCTTAATCTCAGGGGTCTCCACTGGAGCTTCGGTTTTCTCCTCACATTTTGACTTCTTAGGGGGTACCTGCACTGCTGCAATTTGCCTGGCTTCCCAGGCCTTCCTTTGAAATCCTCCTGGAAGCCTCCATGAACCCCTAACTCCAGCATCCTGCATTCCTGTAAAATTAGCACCATGTGGTTGACTCCAGGGTCTGCTGCCATCTGAGCAGTAGCCAAGCCTCCAGGGGCCCTGGCTACAGCAGTCTCTGAGTGCCTGGGTGGCTGAGCATGTTGAAAACACTTCCTAGGCCCACTTGTGCAAGAAAGGTGACCCATTGGTCTCTTCTCCAGAGAATTTTCACCTTTATCCCCTGGAGCCTGAGATGAGTATGGTCTTGCCAGCTCCTGAGATGACCTCAAGCCATCTTTCTCATTGTCTCTAGGAAAAGTCTAGCATTTCTGTATTGGCAGTAAAGTCTTTAACAACTGCTCTAGTTTTACTAGCCCTAGTTTTACTCTGGCCTTTCAAATCCACATTTTCCAAGTCTTTCTGCTTTGCTTTCTTTCCCCGATTATCACAATAAATTTGGCTAAAAGCTACCAGCAATATTCATGCCACCGCCTGAATGCTATGCTGCCTAGAAATTACTTCTGTCAGATTAAGAAGTCCATTACTTCTAAGATCAGTCTCACAGAAAGTCTCTGGACAGGGCAGAATGAAGACAGCTTCTCAGCCAGAACATAACACAAATGGCCTCTACTCCAAATTCCAATAGAGTAGTCCCCTGAACCCTCTTGAGACCCGTCTTCATTATCCCCAGTCCTATTGACATTTTGGTCTTCTGAAGTCCCACCAGAATCGGCCATTAAGCTCTGCTTACAAAAACCTAAAGCATTTCTAGCTTGCACTGTTAAACATCTCAAAATTCCTTCCACCAATTCCAAAAAGCTCAAAAAGCTTCTGAACCACATGTTCAGGTTAGGCACAGCAAGGACCCCACTCCTGGTACCAATTTCTGTTTAAGTCAGCTTCCTTCACTGCTGCAACTTAAAGACCCATCCAGAACAACTATAGAGGAGAAAAGTTTATTTGAGGGGTTCAGAAGTCTTAGTCCATAGAAGGCTGGCTCCTCGGAGCTTGAGGCAAGGCAGAACATCATGTTGGGAGACTGTGGGCAGATGGAAGCAGCTCATGCCATGATCAGAAAGCAGAGAGAGTCCACTAGCCAGATACAGTGGGGAAGGCTGCTGGGGTCTGACTGCTTCTTCCACAGAGAGAGGTCATGGCAGAGAGACTCCCCCTCGTTACCCGTGTCAGCCTAAGAGATGTGGTAACACACGTTAAATGCTGCCCACACTTTTCAATGCAGCCATTCTGGGTTTTGTGCCTTAATGGATTGCTGAACCTTCTTTACTTTACTCTCTAGCTCTCCCAGAGCTATTATTGCTGGTGACTCATTGTTAAATTATTGCTTTTGCCAGGAGAGCAAGGGCCAGGGCCTCTTTATTCATCACCTTCCTGATATCATTTCCTGGCTTTTAATTTTTTAATTGATTTTTTTTCTGATTACAAAGTAACAGGTTTACTGAAAAAAATATTTCAGAAGTTGAAGAAATTAAAACAATAAAATGATCTATTGATTCATAATCTGATATAAATTCAGGCGTTTTGTAAGGCATTTGTAAGTGTACCTATATTTTAGCAAAGTATACCTACAACTTTGAGATGATAACCTTGAAAATGCATTTTTAGGAACTGCTTTTGTAGTGTGCCACTATCCCACAAACATTTTTCAGGCTGTTGAGTATCTGTCTACAGCCTGGTTTATAATGGCTGCCTGCTGTTTCATCATAACATACTGTGCAAAATCACTTGTCTGCCATTGACATTTTGGTTGTTCCTACAATTTTTGCTATTATAAATAATTCTAATAGTCTATATTCTTATAGTTTAATCTTTTCACATGTCTCATTACTTACTCTCTTGGTCTAAGTTTGTAAAAGTAAATCACTGGGTTAGAGACTCTGTGATTCTGAGATTTCTAGCATGTGCTGCCTGGTCACCCTCCACAAAGGCCCCTCAATTGAACTGCCTTGCTCAATGTGTGGAATACCTATCCCTTTGCCTACAGGGAGCTTGCTTTTACTTTCCTTGCAAAATTCTGGACGATCATGAGTGTGATTTTTATTTGTCATTTCAAGATATATATTTGTACCTAAACTTTTTATTGTAGGTTGACTACAAATTGACCTCCAAGTGAATAACCCTCTTCTATTTCTTGACATTATTTTTTAAAAGTTAAAAACCAAAAAAAAAAACTAATTTCAGTGCAGCTTAAGATGCTTCTGGCATGTGATTGTAAGAACTCATAAGATCTAAGATCTTCTTGATGTATATACGTAGAATATATCCTCTCTGCCAATGCGCATCACAATGTGCCCGGAGTATTTCTATCACTATACCTACATTGTAATATTCCCTTATTTTCACTACTGTAGAAATTAATAGATAATTTTAAAAGGAGAAATTTCTCACTGTATAGCAAGTCCCTCTGCATACACACAGAGTCCCTTTGAAGGACAGCACTCTCCCCTCCAGCCCACTCTGGGCTCTCACCTCCTTGGGGCTAGTCTTGGCATCACTTAAATTGCCCTTAGTACAACCAACCTAGAGCCCAGTTGTTGCCTACCTTTTGGGTGACTGAGTTGGGACTATAATCAAGCAGTTAAAATTTGGAGGGTTGGATATAGTCTTCCTCCTATGGGCCCCTCGGTACTGGCTTCCTCCTCTCCCATCATTCCAGGACTAGTAGAAAGTCAGCCTGAGCCCCTTTGGGAGAGGTACACATCACCTCACAAGCAGCACAGAGAGATTCTGTTTGGGAAACACTCAAGTACTTTTTTTTTTTTTAACTACAGGATTTAAAAACCACCACTGAAAACTGGTAGTCCTACATTCTTAACCCACAAATATCTCTGTGTACAAGACTGCACTTGTAAGAAACCAGGCCTGCAATTGCTCACACCATAAAATCATCCAAAACATTCGCTAAGTTTCCACTCTGTGCAACACTGTGAGGGTTAATGAAGTCTAAGTGAGTTACCCCTGTCCTCAGCTTATTTATGATGGAAAATGACAATTATATACCACGCACAGATTATCACCTGTTACTGTTTAAGTTTATGGTAACAGCTCCTCTCCTTCCAACATAAGCATAGTTATCGCATTTTAAATTAAAGACAATTGATAAAAAGAATCAAAATCTAATACAAAGTCTACTACCATCTGGACAAATTTCTCTGAGCTGCTCTCAGATTCTCCCTATTTTCAGATCCTGCACTTAGTCCAACAGGATCCTATTTCCACCCGAATGATTCCCAACCTCTTCCACAGTTATCCAGAGCTAATGGCTAATTCTCAGCAAGTGTGGCTAACAGAGGTTTGGGAATTGCAATTGGACATAGACTATAAATGATACATAATAAAACAGAAATCTAAACCACAAGTATATTAGTTACCATTTAGCCAACTGTAAGGATGTTTGGGTGATATTTCGAAAACGGGCCACAGCAATAACTGTGTTTTTCTGGTGACTGCCCCTTCCATTGGAGTGGAGTAGATGACCTCCTGAAATGTTTTTCAGTCTAAGTTAACGTTAAGGAATAAGCCGACGCCAAAGCATATCAAGTAAACCAAAGCCCTCTCCTCATAAGACATATCTCAAGGAAACCCACTTAGTTTCAAGGGAGAGTAAAAGAAAGAAGGAAATCTTAACAGTGACGTGTCCTGAATGAAATTAGGCATGGTTCTGCATTTGAGATGTTTTTATCAGGGTGTTATTAACCTGAGCAACAGCTAACTGCTCACAATTCCATCCTTGGTAATTTGTGGCTTTCTGAGTACCTCATGCCTCCTGCTTAATCCATCAAGAAAATATTCCTCCCCCTAAAACACACATCCTTTTGTTATTTTTACCTCCCTCCCGCCTGCTTAGCTCCACACTGCCCCTATTATGTGGCCCCAGCCAGGCTCACAGAGAGCTCCCTGGGGTGAGGACTTGACAACTTAAAGGACCTTTGAATAGATTGGGTAAAATACAGGCTGTCCTTCCCATCCCCTGTCCACATCTCCAAAGCTTTGTGTAGATGAAGGGTATCCCGAGCAAGCTGTGACCTAGGTGAGGACAGACCCGTGCGGCACTGAGCCTGGGATAGAGAAGAGCCTGGCAGGATGCAGAAAATTTCAGAAGTCCTCCCTGCAGTGGGTGTTTGGAAGTTGAGTCCCTACCTACCTCCCAGGATGAACCATTAACACAAAAGCACAGAGCAGTCTAGTGTACTAATTAAAACCATTTGGTCAAGTCTTCCTTAATGAATCTTTCAGAAACACGGTAAAAGTCAGAAAATGGAATGAAACAATCCACGTAATTCCAGAAACACATTATATAAAAATCCAGTGAGCACTCATGTGCCAAGCTCTCCACATTCATATAGCATTGACTTCTCACAACTACTCTAACAGGTAAACATGACCATTGTTTACTATTTTCATCTTAGAGATTGAGGGAATTGAATTAAGGGAAATCAAGAAACTTATTATGTGTCCCAAACTGGCAAATACAATGCCAAAATTCAGGCCTTATCTCATTCTAGTATTAAAGATTTTTCTCTATCTGATCTTCTAACCACATATCCTCAAGCCATGGAGAAATCGAGTGCCGCAGCTTCCTGGAGAGTCTTCAGATAGACCGTCATGGCTGTGGGTGCCGGTCACTGTGAAATGTACAGGTCTTGGGAGTGAGACCATTGTCACTTCCATCCATTCACACTTCTTAAATGAATACACTTTGGGACTTTAGTTGAAAGTTTCTTGTTTAGATGTAAAGACCTTCATGTTTAGTACTAACAGAGTCTAGACCTTAAACTGGAACCTTGCATTACCAAGAGTCCAGATGTGATGAACTCCATGAAATGGCCCCCAGGATGTCAAACCCTAATGGCTCCAAGGTCAGTTAACAAACAACAGAGAGAGAGGGAATACCAGCCGAGACCACCACTGGTTTGTGAGAAGAAGGGCAGAAGCTGAATTCTCAAATGGGAAAGGACAAGCAATGGGTCTTTGGGTCATCTTGGGTGATGAAAAGAAGGGCTGTTATCTGGAGAAGAAGATGCCAGTAATAAGAGGCCAGGTGATCAGCTGGCCAACACAAGAAATCATGGTGCTTAGTAGATGCTGTTAACTAGCCTGCTATAGGTTGGATTTGCTAGATAGGAACCTGCAGCCCAGGCTGTTAACAACGTCAAGCCTGACCCCCCCCCACCCCTCATGGTCAAAATACCACACAACATTGCATAAATCACATGCATTTTAAAAGTCTGACATAAGTTAAAAGTGATTTATAGATTGGTTGGGGACAGCGTTTATCATCCACACTGAGAAGATATTGAGATTGGAAGGAGAGATTATCATAATTTACATCTGGACATGTACTCTAAAGTTGTTCCAGGAAAAGCAGGATTATGATCACCAATGTGTGGGCTATACATTACTCCACAAATCACATTTTCTGTGAAACGGGAGTAACACTTACTCTCTTTGTCTACATTATAGGAGGACTGAATGACATGATAATGACAGTTACATATTTTTGTAAGCTATAATGTATGATATAAATAAATAGATTATACTATGTAAGCATAGAGTGATTTACCATGGAGTATGCTTTGCTCTGAATAGATGCTCATATGCACCAATATCATAGGCATGAAAAACCTTGGCTTCTGGGCCTTGCCTTGTGCTAAATGTGTGATAGTTCTGTCTCTTCACCAATATAAGGAAATTGAAGGATATTTCTAACATATGTTTAATAATTGAATTAATTTAGATAAAGTTATCTTGTCAGATCAAGATGATATTTCAATGTAGACATCAGTAGAGTTTTCACGAATGTTAGCCTCTTGGACTTAGTGAAATTATAATCCCCCATATGCACACAAATCACACACACATACCTTCCTCATCACAAATTCACAAACTGAAATCATATAGATACACACATGATAGTTTATCCCATTTTAAACTAACGGGTTTATTAAGATTCTCTGAATTTCTCTCTCATTCTATCAAGATACCACTGACTCTAAAATAATTGGTGTCACTATGTAACTATGGTTCTGATGAACTTACACTCAAGATTTAATGTATTTGTTATGCTGGCCTCCAAGCACCAAAATGTCAAAGAGATGTCCATTGGATGCATGACTTGTGTGATAGCAAAAATAATTGAAAATCCCATTGAGTTACCATGAACTTCATCCAAGCTGTGTGAGCTCCAATGAGCCAAATTTATACTGTGGTCAACTTGCTGGTTCCTTAATTTGAATGTTAATCAAAGTGCAATGAAGGTTTCTTCTCTCTTTTAATTTCTAGTTACTTGTTACTATATTTCAATTCATATAAATGCAGAAGGAGCACACCAGCCATAGGAATGCTAGTTACTCACTAACCAGAAAAATGGTGCTCATTCTTTATTTACAAGGTCCTTGGGAACCGTTGTCTCTGAATTTAAGCATGATGCATACATACACCCCTATCTTCAATAACTGCAGACTATATTTTAAAAACAGCAATGAAATGAAAGAACAACCTCCCACCTTCAAGGAGTACACAATTTAGGAACTAAGAGTTGCCTTCGTCTTGAAAAAGAAGAGAAGGAGGGAAAGAAAGGAGAACAACAGAGAGAGGGAGAGGGAGCTAGAAAAAGAAAAAGATTAACTGAGTAGGGGAAATAGTTTTCATGCATGGATTTTCTTTTAAGGGAAACAGAGAGAGATAAGCAGGAGGGCATTTCTTTTCTGTTTCTTTCATGGCCCCATGATTACAGAACATCAAATGGCAGGGGGCAAGAGTGACAGGTTCGCCTCACCAAGGCTATTGAGAAGGAGGGCAGCAGAGGAGATAGAATCACAGCTAAGAGCAGGATGTGGAGCAGGCCAGGGCCTGCACAGCACCCAGGTATGTGGCTGAGAGGCAGGCGCTGGCCCGCGGCAGGTGCAGCACAGCCAGTGCCTGGCGGCCTCAGGAAAAGAAATCCTGCAGGTGCAGTCAGGACATGTCCTGAGCCTCCCCAGCCACGCGTTTTTTTTTTCTGAATAGTTGTCCTATCTTCATTGTCTGCCAGCAAGATTATGATTTGCAGTGGGAGGATGCAAAGCAGGGAGTGGTTGGTGGAGTCTCCAGTTCTAGTGACTTTGATGTACTACACAACGGCTCTGATGAGGTGAAGTGGGCTTTGGGGGTCCCTGGGTGATCCTGAACTGGCTGAGGCTGTAGCAATGGAGGTGCCCTCTGCCAGCCTCAAAGCAGCTCTCTGCCTGCTGCTTCCAGGCTATATGAACACTGTGCAGGGTCCTGGCTGAAGCTGTGCCTGCATCTTCCTTCTGAAAGGCCACTAGTCACTGTCCTCCACATCTGAAAGTCTCTGTCTGTTCTCCTTCACCATCCTAACTCAGTGATCACAACCCTGAGATCTTCCAGGCTGCCTGAATTCCCCTCGCACATTCCAGAAGTTAACGTGGTTTAGCACACACTGTAGGTACTCTGTATTTTGTCCAATTATCTCTCAGCCCCTGTCATGACCTGTAATCAGAGGCAGTTTTGCAAATAAGCAATGGTCGTCTTCAACTGGAAACAGGAGAAAGAAATGAAGACAGGGTATCTTTTGCCAGCAGTGAATGCATGGTCACAGGAAGCTCCACCCTGTTCAGAAAAGTCTAGGATATATGGGGGGGGGAGGGCGCTGAGAAATGAAAAGATGGGAGCATTTTATCTTTTATCTTTTTGGAGCATTTCCTTGAGGTAAGAGAATTGTTGTAGCAGTGACGGTGACCAACAGAATGAGAAGGAAGGAACGTAGGGGGAGGTTTTGCTCACCCTAGACAGTGACCCAGGGAAAAAAGAAGGCTGGAGGTTGTGCAGGAAAGGAGGTACTGACACTTGCAGAAGGTTCTGGAACAAAGGTTAGAGAGAAAGCAAGAAGCAAGTGGGTCTTTTCAAAATAAAAGAGCAGCTCAAGTCACGGAACAATCCAAATAACTCTGGAGAGAGGACAGAGGCACAGAATGACAAGGAAATATGGAAAGAATGGGTAGCTGGAGGCTTTAGGGGGGGCAACGTATAGGTACTTGATGGAGGAGGTGGTGAAAGAGCTTTGGGACAAGAGGAGATCAGAGGACCCAAGCATATAGTCAGGTTGGCACAGATGCTGTGGGTGCAGAATGCTAGGGAAGCTCTGCACATTGGGTCTGGTCTTTCCTCTGACACAGAGGCCAGGGAGTTCCCCAGTGACATCAGGTGTCAGGGTGGAGTGAGGAGAGGTGCAGGAAAGGTAGCATCTATGCGAAGTGCACCAGGGGTTATTGTAGTTAAATCCCTTCTTTCTTGGGCCCTGGGCTCTAGCTGCCCCGAGTCTCTCCTGGCCCCTGACCCTTTTTGGCCTCCTCAGTCCACTTGAGTCATGTGGGCAGCAACCACACACATCCTGTCAGGACCTGTTCCTTCTGGAGAAGAGTGCAAAAACAAGAAATTGCTTCGAATGCTGCAAGAGACCAGCAACACCTGCTGAGGCGGAGGGGGGCGGGATTGCAGGGATAGGTAACAGCACAAAACCAGAATACAGAACAATTTAAGACCTGACCCCAATTGAAGAGCTGATCCCAGCAACGAGAAAGAGAGAGAGAGAGAGACTGAGACAGACACTTGGACCACAAAAGCATAAAGAAATGGCAGAACTCCGCTCTGGGCTACAGGTGGGCTAAGCCCAACAAAACTTCCAATCCCTTCGGTTCATCCTCACCTCAACATGGCTTGAGCCTGCTCTTAAACTTGGTGCCCTGAAACCTGTGCTCTGCCCTACACTCTGAACCCAGCTGTCACCAATGCATTCTTCAGGATCCAGCAAACACATGCACCTTTGTTCTGGCCACGGAGAAAGACCTCCTCAGCACCATCCCAGGGAAAGTTTTTTGTCCTCCAAATCCCATCAGACTGCAAGATATTCCCATCCTGCTGCCTCATGGTTGCTCTGCTTCTAGGCCTTCCTGAGGGTCCCAGACAAGTGCCTGGAGCACACTGTACTTAGCTTTCCATAACTACAGTGTGTGTGTGTGTGGTGGTAGGGTGGTTCATCAGAATACCTTCAACCCTGTAGGGTAGGAAGATGGAAGTAAAAAAAGCACTTAGAGGGAGTCTGGTTCATAGGAGATGCTCAATAAATATTAGCTCTCATAATTATCTATCATATAAATATCTGTGTGTTTTGGCTACATTTCAGAGGTTTTGACCTGTCTGATCCAGTGTTGCATTCTCAAGAAAAGCCATGATATCGGTTGCTGCAGGGTTACCCCTTATAGCACTCAGATTGTGCTCAGTAAGTGCCGCTGGCCGCCAGCCCACCTGCCGCAGTTCCTGAGCAGAACTGGAATTCCTCCAGGGATCAGCGTCCTAAGTGGGCATGCCTGGAAGGAGCCAAGGCAGGTGCAGTTCAGCTGCTGTGAGTAGGTGATTAAGAGATTCCTCATTATATGATACACGAAAAAAATCTTCCCAGGAAAAGTGCTCAGCAAAGAACACAATGGTCTACTTTTAGAGAATGCTGACTCTAAGTCAAATTGGGATCCCTATCGATTGAGAACAGCAAAGTGTTCTTACAAAACTTTGCTTACGGTGTCCCCTCAAAGCACACCGGTTGCTTTGAAGAAATTCTTTCTTAGGAGCTGGGTATGTTTCTCAGTGGTACAGTGCTCACCTAGCAAGTATGAGGACCTGGGTTCAATCCCAAGTACAGGGTCAGGGGGCAAACAGGAGGGGGAAAAAATCTCTTAGACTTGTTACTGAGTGCCATACTGCAATCCATTGCTGTGTGAGTTTTAGAGAAGCTTGTTATCTGGTCTTAATTTAAGGTCTGGTTGTATGTGCATGTGTTTTGTGTGTGTGTGTGTGTCTGTGTGCACATATACACACATGCACCTGCCTTTACACCGAACGGGACTTTTTCTTCTCTGAATCTCCCAAGTCCTTGGCTCCCTCTGCTATTGCAAATGCCTGCATGTCTTGCCAATAAACCCCATATTTATGCACATTGTCTTCTACTCACCTTGTTGGACTTTCCAGTCACTCCCCAGATTGTGGGAAAGTCATCTCCATGCGGAGCGCAGATAATAAAAGTGACAGGCTTTGGATCAGGGACAACAGATATGCCTCTGAGCTTCTGTGTTCTGCCTTTTAGAACATGGCTGCCCCTTAATACTGGTTCCTTCACAAACAACTACTCCCAACCATGAGGGCAGCAGGCAAGAGGAAGTAAGCTGGCAAATCCTGATGGCTGAGACCTAGGATCAGAAAGCAAAGCCTGAGCCCAACAGGTCACACAGACTCCACATGGCCACACTAAGCCACTTCCTCATAAACAGTTACAGAAAGAGTGCTAATGGAGGGCCATGATACTAATTGTCACCTGGAACCATATAGAAACACAGAAAGCTATGCTTTCATGTACAGAATCAAGCTAGATGAATTTGAGCAGAAGAGAGGGAAAGCAAAGAGAAGAAAGACAAACCAAACAACATGGAAAAATAAAATGGTGAGAAAAGAGAGAACAGTCTGAGTGCCATTATCTAGGAATTGCCAGGTGTGCGGTAGAGCAAAACAAAGAGGAGGTGGGCTCTTCCTTCTGGTAAGGAAAACATGCT